TTAAAGGGCGCCATCCACGAGAGCCGGAGCGTGGAGGGGCGAGTGGAGAGCGGATCGTGAGCGGCGGCGACTGACGTTCACACAACGGCGGCAGGCTGGGCGTTCTCCTTTAACTAAGGGACTAGATAATGGCGACAGGGCCTGCTTGCCTTGTCCTGGATGACTCACCCAGCTTCCTTCGGCCCACGGTTGATCCTGCGGCGCTGAGGGTGCGGTGCTGGAGGTGCGGTGATGAGGGTACGGCGCTGAGGGCGGTGCGGTGGCGCTGAGAGGTGCTGTGCGCTGCTGAGGTGCTGGGGCTGACGGTGCCGAGGGGCGCTGAGGTGCGGTGCTGAGGTAGGCGCTGAGGGGGCCGTGCTGCGGCGCTGAGGTGCCGTGCTGAGGTACGGCGCTGAGGGCGGCCTTGGGGGCGGTGCTGAGGTACGCGCCGCTGAGGGGGCGGTGCTGAGGCGCTATGCGGTGCTGAGGTGCGGCGCTCAGGTGCCCGTACTGAGGATTGCGGCGCTCAGGGTGCCGTGCTGAGGTAGGCGGCGCTCGGTGCTGAGGGTACGGCGCTGAGGTGGGCGGTGCTGAGGTACGGCGCTGAGGGGCGGTGCTGAGGTACGGCGCTGAGGGGGCGGTTGGGAGGGGGCGCTGAGGGGGCGGTGCTGAGTGCTGACGTGCGCTGAGGGGCGGTGGTCGAGGTACGGCGCTGAGGGTGGCGGTGCTGAGGGTGTGGCGCTGAGGGGGCGGTGCTGAAGTACGGCGCGCTGAGGGGGCGGTGCTGCTGAGGGGCGGCGCTGAGGGTGCCCGTGCTGAGGTACGGCGCTGAGGATGCGGTGCTGAGGTACGGCGCTGAGGGTGCCGTGCTGAGGGGGCAGTGCTGAGGGAGCCGCTGCTGAGGTACGGGCGCTGAGGATGCGGTGTTGAGGTACGGCGCTGAGGGGGCGGTGCTGAGTGTACGGCGCTGAGGGGGGTGTTAGGTACGTGCTGAGGTACGCCGCTGCGGTGCTGGTGTGAGGGGGCGGAGTCTAAGGGCGCTCTGAGGGGCGGAGCTGAGGGTGCCGTGCTGAGGGTACGGCCCTCGAGGGGGCTGTGCTGAGGGTACGGCGCTGAGGGTGCGGTGCTTGAGGTACGGCGCTGAGGAGCGGTGCTGAGGGTGCGGCGCTCAGGGGTGCCGTGCTGAGGATAGACGGCGCCTCCCAGGGTGCCGTTTTGAGTAAGGCGCTGAGGGGGCTGCTTGAGGGTGCGTGCTGAGGGGCGGTGCTCGGTGCTGAGGGGGCGGTTGCTTGAGGGTGCCGTGCTGAGGTGGTGCCGTGCTTAGGGTGAGGTGCTGAGGGTGCTGTGCTGAGGGGGCGGTGCTGAGGGGGCGGAGCAGAGGGTGCCCGTCCTAAGGGGGCGGAGCTGAGGGTGCGGCACTGAGGGGGCGGTGCTGAGGGTGCCGTGCTGAGGGGGCGGAGCTGAGGGTGCCGTGCTGAGGGTACGGCACTGAGAGGGCGGTGCTGAGGGTACGGCGCTGAGGGGTTGGGCGCTGAGGGCGTGCTGAGGGAGGGGCTGAGGGCCGTGCTGAGGTACGGCGCTGAGGGGGCGGTGCTGAGGGTGCCGTGCTGAGGGGGCGTCGCTGAGGGCGTTGCCGTGCTGAGGGTGCCGTGCTGAGGTACGGCGCTGAGGGAGCCGTGCTGAGGTACGGCGCTGAAGATGCGGTGTTGAGGTACGGCGCTGAGGGGGCGGTGCTGAGGGTTGAGGGTGTGCTTGAGGGTACGGCGCTGAGGTGCCGGTGCTGAGGGTACGGCGCGGCGCTGAGGGTGCTGTGCTGAGGGAACGGCGCTGACGTACGGCGGTGAGGATGCGGTGGTGAGGGTACGGCGCTGAGGGTGCGCTGAGGGTGCCGTGCTGGGTGCCGTGCTGAGGGTGCGGCGCTGAGGGGGCGGTGCTGAGGGTGCCGTACGGCGCTGATTGCGGCGCTGGGGTTGCTGTGATGCGGCGCTGAGGGGCGGTGTTGAGGGTGCCGTGCTTGAGGGTACGGCTGAAGGGGGGGTGGAGGTACGGCGCTGAGGATATGGCGCTAAGGGGCGGTGCTGAGGATACGGCGCTGAGGTGCGGTGCTGAGGGTACGGCGCTGAGGGTGCCGTGCTGAGGGGGCGGTGCTGAGGGTACGGCGCTGAGGGTGCCATGCTGAGGTACAGCGCTGAGGTGCGGTGCTGAGGCGCACTGAGGGGCGGTGCTGAGGGTACGGCACTGAGGGGGCGGTGCTGAGGGTGCGTGCTGAGGTACGGCCGCTGCGGATGCGGTGCTGAGGTACGGTGCTGAGGGTGCGGTGTTGAGGTACGGCGCTGAGGGTGCGGGCTGGTACGGCCTGAGGGTGCCGTGCTGAGGCGCTGAGGGGCGTGCTGAGGGGCGGTGCTGAGGGTACGGCGCTGAGGGGTGCGGTGCTGAGGTACGGCGCTGAGGGGCGGATGCTGCGGTACGGCTGGGGTGCTGATGGGTACGGCGCTGAGGGGGCGGTGCTGAGGGTGCCGTGCTGAGGTACGTGCTGAGGGGGGCGGTGCTGAGGGTACGGCGCTGAGGGTGCGGTGTGAGGTACGTGCGTGAGGGTGCGTGCTGAGGGGGCGGTGCTGAGTTGAGGGGGGTGCTGAGGTACGGCGGCGGTCTGAGGGTAGGCGCTGAGGGGGGGTGCTGAGGGTGCGTGCTGAGTACGGGCTGAGGGGGCGGTGCTGAGGTGCGGCGCTGAGGGGCTGTGCGAGGTACGGCGCGAGGATGAGCCGCTGAGGGTGCGGTGCTGAGGTAGGCGCTGAGGGGGCGGTGCTGGATACGGCTGAGCGGTGCTGAGCGGTGCTGAGGATACGGCGCGCTGAAGGGGCGGTGCTGAGGATGCTGAGGGATGCGGCGCTGAGGGGGCGGTGCTGAGGGACGGGCGCTGAGGGCGGTGCTGAGGATACGACGCTGAGGTGCGGTGCTGAGATACGGTGCTGAGGGTGCACTGCTGAGGATGCGCGGAGGGGGCGGTGCTGAGGATACGGCGCTGACGGGTGCTTCGGCGCTGAGGGGCGGTGCTGAGGATGCGTGCTGAGGATACGGCGCTGAGGGAGCGGTGCTGAGTGCTGAGGATACGGCGCTGAGGGGGCGGTGCTGAGGATAGGCGCTGAGGGGGCGGTGCTGAGGATACGGCGCTGAGGGGGCGGTGCTGAGGCGGCGCTGAGGGGGCGGTGCTGAGGATACGGCGCTGAGGGGGCGGTGCTGAGGATACGGTGCTGGGCGGTGCTGAGGGTGCACTGAGGATACGGCGCGGAGGGGCGGTGCTGAGGATACGGCGCTGAGGGTGCGGTGCTGAGGATACGGCGCTGAGGGGGCGGTGCTGAGGATACGGCCTGAGGGGGCGGTGCTGAGGCGGTGCTGAGGATACGGCGCTGAGGGGCGGTGCTGAGAGATGCTGAGGGCTGAGGGGGCGGTGCTGAGAGGATACGGCGCTGTGCTGAGGATACGGCGCTGAGGGGCGCTGAGGATAGCTGAGGGGGCGGTGCTGAGGATACAGCGCTGAGGGTGCGGTGCGTGCTGAGAATACGGCTTGAGGGGGCGGTGCTGAGGATACGGCGCTGAGCTGAGGGCGGTGCTGAGGATACGGCGCGGAGGGCGGTGCTGAGATAAGGTGCTGAGCTGAGGATACGGCGCTGATGATACGGTGCTAAGGATACGGCGCTGAGGGCGGTGTTGAGGATACGGCGCTGAGGGGGCGGTGCTGAGGATACGGCGCTGAGGGGGGGTGCTGAGGATACGGCGCTGAGGGTGCGGTGCCTGAGATACGGCGCTGAGGGGGCGGTGCTGAGGATACGGCGCTGAGGGGGCGGTGCTGAGGATACGGCGCTGAGGGGCGGTGCTGAGGATAGTTGCTGAGGATACGGCGCTGATGCTGGATACGGCGCTGAGGGGCGGGGGCGGTGCTGAGGATACGGCGCTGAGGCGGCGGTGCTGAGGATACGGCGCTGAGTGCTGAGGATACGGCGCTGAGGGGGCGGTGCTGAGGATACGGCGCTGAGGGGCGGTGCTGAGGGGCGGTGCTGATGATACGGCGCTGAGGGGGGGTGCTGAGGATACGGCGCTTAGGGGGCGGTGCTGAGGGGTGCTGATACGGCGCTGAGGGGGCTGCGCGGTGCTGAGGATACGGCGCTGAGGGGGCGTGCTGATGATACGGCGCTGAGGGGGCGGTGCTGAGGATACGGCGCTGAGGGGGCGGTGCTGAGGGTGCGGTGCTGATGATACGGGCGCTGAGAGGTGCACTGCTGAGGATACGGCGCTCTCTCTCCTTCCTCTCTCTCTTCTCTCTTCTCCTCTCCTCCCTCTCTCTTCTCTCTCTCCCTTCCTCCCTTTCTCTTTCTCTCTCTCTTCCTTCCTCCCTTCTCTTTCTTTCTCTCTCTCTTCTCTTCTCCCTCTCTCTTTCTCTCTCTCTTCTCCCTCCTCTCTCCTCTCTTCCTCTTCTCTTCCCTCCCTCTCTTTCTTCTCTCCCTTCCTCCTCTCTCTTTTCTATCTCTCTCCTTCCACCCTCTCTTTCTCTCTCTCATTCCTACTTCTCACTTTCTCTCTCTCCTCTTCCTCCCTCTTTCTTTCTCTCTCTCTCCTACCTCCCTCTCTCTTTCTCTCTCTCCCCTTCCTCCCTCTTTCTTTCTCTCTCCTTCCTCCCTCTTTCTTTCTCTTTCCTTTCACTATTCGCTATCGCTGTTACTCTGCCCAGGAAATCAAAATATTAAGCTGAGTGGCAATTTCTCTTTGAAAATCTCCTCTTTTTAAAATGCATTTTTGAAATTTCTCTTTGAAATTCATTCACAGAAAAAATACAATTACGTCTATTCTTTGTCTTGCATTTCTATGAGCATGATTTTTTTTCTTCTTTGCAAAAGTATGTAAATAAAAAATGAAATGCTATATTCATTTGACAGCGAAAGTGTGTCTTAACAATTTTAACTAACATTTGGAAGAGAAAACGAAAAAATACGAAAAAAGAAATCTACTAAGGAAAAAACAAACAA